ACCTCCCCCCTACTTGGCTGTACGTTTAACCCCAGAGTGGCAGGGGGTTGGGAGTGGGGAGGGGGAGGGTGAAAATTTTTGTTTGTGTTCTAAGTGTGTAGAACGTTTCCAAATGTTTCAGGATTTTAATGAGCTGTAAGCAATTTTCTGCAGAAAAAAAATCGATTTTCATGGGTTTTTGGGGCCTAAGAAATGGATTATATTGTCAAAATAATCGATTATAATGGATTTTTAATTATTGAAAATAATCGATTATTGTCCCCTAAAAATCTATTTTCATGGTTAGATGAGTCATGAAAATCAATTAAATGGGTTGTTTTTGCATAATCCATTATAAACGATTATTTCCCATGAAACTAGTGCGGGTGTTAAAGCATGGACTTGTAATTATATACATTGTTCAAAACTCTTTTCGGCCTAAGCGTAACCTATGTTTTTCTTATCAACCGTATCGCAGCTGATAGTTTTACAGAGCAATGGTCTCGATGATTTGAGATAAAATTTGGCATGGACTCAAAATATATTGAGAAAATTCTAATTCATTTATAGAGAAAAATAGCGACCAGATTTTTAAATCAGCATGAAAAGAAATTCTAACAGTTTGTTAGCACCACTTATTGCTGTTTTCATTATAAGTTTTTCTAATATCTGGCTTCTCGTCTAAATTTCTTGTCGCTTATATCTGAACCTCATGCTGACAATAACATTTGCGTCAGTTCAGTTTTTGGAAATTGACGAAGTGCATTTGAAATGATTTTTTTCAAGATCTCAATCATACTCGGATCTAGTTTGTTGTCCATATTTTCCCTCGAAGTTATTGCAATCAAATTTAAGGACTACTGGTCATCTATTTATTGCGGAAAAAAGCACCCAAGGGATATTAATTTTGTGTTCAATTTTCAGATATTAAGCTTGATTTTCCGCTTCCATGGAAAATGATGGTCAAAATGTAGGAAAACTTGGCGATTCTCACCCCTATAAAAAATTGCGGAATGATGGGATCTGAACTCTTTGTGTTTTCTAATCAAGAGTTTTTTTTAATGTTCTGCCAAGTTTCTAAATGTCTTTTTTTAAACTACGAGACAGGAAATTATTTTAAGCAAATCTCAATAACTGAGCTGTTAAAAAATGGGTGATTGATTCTATCTGTTGGAGAAAGTGAAATTGACGTTAGGGGCTCCAAAAATGTATGCTTTATCGACAGACAACTTTATCGACAGACAACCCTCAATCAATAACCTCATACCGTATAGCTCAATAGAAGTATTCGAGGTTTTGATTGATACAAACAAATTAAAGTCAACAAGAGAAGTCACGCACAAATTTAAATTGGATTACCCACATCCAGTTTCAAGAGTTAATAATCGATTATATTACGAATTTAGTACCAGTCTTACTAAAACTGAGAAAAAAAGTCAGTTTTGATCAATTAATAGTCGATTATAATATTTATTTTTGAAGTCAAACTATAATCAATTATAATACATTTTAATCGATTTTAATTGATTATTTATCCATCTGTTTTCTAATGCAATTATAATCAATTATAATCGATTATAAAACATTATTTTTCTCCCAATTTTTAATTCAAGAGCTTTGCACAAAAATCAAATATAACCGATTGTAACCGATTATAATCCCTTCTGTTTGCACATTTTATCAACGAGATTGCATCTAAATTGCCTATAGTTTATGCTTTTTGTAGACGTTGGCTCCTGTGAAAAATGAGAAAATTGTTTCTAAAGGTTTCAAATCAAATCAATTTTTTGACGTTATTTTTTTTTCCATTAGAGTTGTTTCATGGTGCACTTTTTAAGGTTTTTCACCATCAAAACATTAGCAAATTGTTTTAGTTTAATGATTGATTCGAAAGATTTAAATATCATATCACCTACGAAAAAGGTACAAAAAGAACTCTATGAAACTTTTTTTGGGGTAAATTTTGTGTTCAGGTTTACCAAATTGTGCCAAGATATCTTGCTTTTGGAGATTTTGTTCTTGACTAAAAATTAATAAGCAATAAAATATAACTGAAATATTGTTTTGGTGTGACAAATTTTTGAGAAAAAAGAGATGGTAATTGAAGATAATCAATTATATTTAATTTTAACGGTTTTTTGTCTGCACTAAAGTTAATTATAATCGACTGTAAGAGATTATAATCTCTGGGAAAACATCACAATTGTAGTCGATTATAAATCTTTTAAAAACCTAATTTTGGTCATTATAATCAGTTTTAATTGTCATAAAGTCATCATAACAATTCCGTTATAATAGACTACTTACGCCTAAACGTGGATGCGGGTAATCACATCAGTGTGAAGCCCTAAGTGCTGCGACTGCTTTGAATATCTTTGGATAAATTTGTTTTTCAAACATGTATCAAGAATTTTTCGAAAAACAATTTGAAATAATTATCATTTGAAAATCACAACATGAGGCATTACAAGTGTCGAGCCTTTCTGAAGATAGAGCAAAGCTGGTCTAAACATATATGTCATTTGAAACATAAAGCAAATATTTTTATCAGCTGAAAGAAGATTGGTTAACCTTCCAAAAAATATCACTTTTTTGTTGGCACCTTGTTTTTTCATTTAATCGCCTTAGCGAATAAAGCCTAAAATTCAAAAACAAATGGTTTTTCAACTGAGTTTTTCAAATGGTTTATGGAACTGATGGCGTGCAGTGGAGTTTTCTAGTAAATTATTACTACTTCAAAACAAAATAAAGGTGATTCAAATATTCGGCCCCTAATATAATTCTCATCCTGATTCTTGATTCTCATCCAGAAGGTATAGTTCGAAAAATTCCAATCAATCATGACAAAAGATATTGAGAAAATTTTAGCTACTCAGATCAAATACCAAATGATTTCTATCAGCTGGCTGAGAAATCATCGATTAACTTTCCGCAGTGGCATGCTCAGAAACTTTTCTAGGGGAAGGAGGGAGCGGTTTTTCGAAAAACTTTTGTAAATTTTGAGGACCTTTTTTTAGGTCGATCAGTTTCATTTTCCGAGTTCTCCGAAAACACTATAAAAACTTTATTTTGTTAGATTTTTTTAGGCTTTTTTGGAAAATTTTGATCGAAAAAAATCGCTTTTGTTTCGGCGCGCGCTCGCCCCTAAAATTTTTTTTAGCGTCAATGGCGCCTTCAAAAAATATTTAATATTGGATATCGTAAAGTTCTACCAAAGGGGGAATCCAGCGAGAAGTTTTTGAACATGTTAAAATTTTGTCGAAACGACCACAAAAACGAAAGGTTAAAAGCAGAAGCAAGAATTCAATAATACGCAGTTTGGCTTCGTAATATTTTAATAAACATTTTTTCATCGGAATTTAAATTTTCTTAATACTCTTGGGAACAATTAATAGGGTATTTAAACTTAGTAACGTCGTTTTGTTAAGAAGTTAGTTTTTTTTGTTCATTTTTTAATTGTTTTTGTTTCTTTTCATGGTTTTCTTGTTTTTGGTAAGAATTAGGTTTTTGTCTCTGAACTCCATTCTCATATTTTAAATCCAGAAATAGTTTAGTTAGATTTGAAAAAATTTAAAAATTACTGCTTTGTTCATATAGGAATGTATACAAATTAACGAGATATTTCCGTTCTTTAAATAATAGTGCACTTCATTGAATCATTTTCAAGCGCTTTATCAGCCAAGGTAAGCTTAATCAAATTGATGGATCTTTTTACTTATTCTGTTCAAAAATCAATATTTCAAGATCTTGAATTAAAATTATTTCCCCTCAATCTGATTGGCTAAGATCAGCCAACCAGATTTCAGCACCTTTCCAAAATGTTCTGTTCACATTTTTAAGTCAAAATGTAAATATACCGAAGAATATTTGGTAAAACATTCAAAATTATTTCAAATCGTTTCTGAGTTTTACCCAGATTAGGAAAAACACAGAAAACAGCTCCAGTGCAAAAGTGACCAATTTCGTTTCTGCTCAAAATTCGGCCTCATTAGAAGTCCGCTTACGAGTAATTTGATCGGTTTGTATTAACCAAATTAACAAGTGCTATCAGCATGTTGTTCTCAGCATTTATACATTGAATATTACAAAATAGCTTTCGGGCGGAACAAGTAAAAAGACCCGAACTAATGACACGGTTAAACATACGTTTAACCATGTCATTAAGAGTTTCCTACTCAACCAACAAATTCGTCACGAGGCGCTAAAAACTTCTTTTGTTCAGACAAGTTTGCCATCTTGTGTTTCGATTTGATTACTTTTTGACATAAGTCGATTGACCAATAAAAAATCAATAAACCTGTTCCAATTATAATTTTTATTAAAAAATCAGTTGCTTGAAAATTTTGCTGCTTAAAACTTTTTGTTAAATTTCCATCACTTTAATTGATTTTTCTGTTATACGGCTTAAAACTGATCTTTTTCATTTTTTAAAAAAACTGGATCATAATGCTCGAATCTGATTGGTTCAAATTAGTTTCAGTAAAAGAAAGTCTGGATATTCAATAAGAATAGGAGCTCAATCAATAGTTTGATAAATTTGGCCTTCTTTACAGAAAAAAAACACTAATTTGCCCATAATATGTTTTCATGGTAATCTTTATGACCCTTTTGCTTTTGCATTTTTCAAATTTAGTTTTAACTTCATCCATGGTTTATGATAAAATAGAGCTTACATGTAAAACATTTTTTAGTCTGGGTCGGTTGAGGGGTAGAAACAGGCCAGTCGTGAAAAACCGAAAACTACTGAAGTTTAACCAAAAACACTTCATTGAAGTAAGAAAGTAATTTTCTGTTATAATTTCAAAGTATACTGACAAAATGGAGAGTTTTTTTTCAGTAATTGATTGTTTTGATATTATCTCAGAACAGATGGTATGAAAATAGAAAAAGTTGACACCAGAAGTTTCCAATTCTGAAAATTGGTACTTAATGTTAGTTTTCAAAGTTCCAGTAAAATTTTCATCAGTGGTCAACACTCTAGCATATGCCGTGGTGTGATTCAAAAATTGAAATTTAGCGAAATTTAATTAAACCTGCGTTAGATAGAGGGGGCAAAATATGAAAGTTTCAATTATCAACCGAGCTGTTGCTATCCTCGGGGACTGAAATTTGCAACACGCACCATAAATTCCTCAGCACTATCTGAAATTAGTCGGTTGTTTTTACGATAATTGATAATAAAAACTGACCAATTATTCTGCTCTATATTTGATCCTAAATTCGAGTTATACTACTAGACAAATCGTTCAACTTGGCTGTTTGTGCTATAACCGCAAAAAAAGATGAAATTGAGTTGTTACCGAGGCTTCGGTGTTATTCTCGGCGTCTTGGCGTGTGTGAGCAATGCTACTTACCACTGGGCCGGAAATACTTGTGAAGATCTGAGAGCTAGTATGGAGGAAGTCAAGGGAAGTAAGTATGATGATAATCATGTTTGAACATTTCTGCTCGTCGCAGATTCTTTTATCTTTTTTTCCATTGCGCTGGAACTAAAGTTAAATACCTAGCCGATCTGAACATTAAACTGAGTTCTAAATCGTAAGCACCTTGTCAATTTCTCTCATAATCTAATAGCTCATCAAACGTTGTCTCTGGTTTGAAAATAGGCGACTGGATTTCAAATGAAAAAGAGTCTTTGGGGAGATGCGCGCACATCTGAGAATTTTTATGTGCTGCCTTTCTTATGACAAAAACTATTGAAAAATTTTTCTATTATCAATCTTTTCATTACACTAAGTTTTGTGAATAGAAAGTGGCGGGTAGATCTAAACTTCCAGATTTCCTTCAAAGGCTCTAAAACTCAGACTTGCTTGAAATCCCAATTAAGTTTTGAGAAAACATAAACAGCAGTCAGATTATTTGCAGCATCGTTCTCATCTGCGTATCCAGTTGCGGATTTAGGGGGGGGGGGGGAACCCTCCTCATCTCAGGGATTCGACACCTACCGACACAAAAGTCCCCCTTTGTACTATTTTGAGATAGCCAATTTTAGCTGACTGACACTAAAATTTATCTAAAAGCGTTTTCGACGCCAATATATACTAACTTTGAGTGGGGGGTGCGCGCCGAGAAAAAGCTATTTTTCGGTCAACATTTTCCAAAAAATGCCTTAAAGTTGGCTTTTTTATCCTGTTTTTTATCCTGTTATTGTGATTTGAGAGAGCTCAGTAAAACCCTTTAATTGACCTAGAAAAAAGTTTTCTTTTTTTTTCAAAATTGGAAATACCCCTGAAAAAAGCTAGTTTTGCACCCTGAGCGTATCTTTGTTATCTAACATAACAAACTAAAATAAATATCTAGGAAAAACTATTCAAATTTACTATTGAAAAATTCTAAGCCAGCAATTACGCAATCATTTGACATATCGGTGGTTTATAAACCAGCCGAAGCATTAATCAAGAAGCAATAATTGAACACTACTGGACGCTAAATTTAACAACTTGCGTCGCTACCCTTGAAAAAAAACTACAAAAAAGTAAGAAAAAAAGTAGCAGAGGTTGAAACCTTATGGGCTAATTGTAAAGGAATTGTCTTTTCATTTTTCATGTGTATCCACTGAGTAGCTTCTCGAAGAGCAAGATTGTAATTTATCTGTGAAAGTAACTTCAAGGCAAACATTATTTAGCTAAATCCAACAAGTTAGTTTTTCTGGTTGAAAAGAAGGGTCTCATTTATTATTCCGCCCAAGTTTAATTATTTCGCAACTTTGTAAAACTCATTAAATAAATGCAGATAAAAATTTGATCTGCCGATTTCTAACAAAAACAAATTTGAGCAGATGTGAAGGCAGTCAATTTTTATCCGGAAGCTATTTTTTGCGTTTTTCTTTCTGGCCAGGGTAACATTACGAGACCAAACAGTGCACTGGATAAGCGCATAATTTAGTGTCTGTAGGTCTCTGGAATCCAGAGACAAGTCTTTAAACATGTTAAAATTTCGTCGGAACGACCAAAGAAACCGAAAGAACAAAGGAAGATCAAAGAGAGCGTTCTTGTTACGGAATCCATTTACAATTCACAAAATACACTGTTTGGCCTCGTAATGAAAACTTTGCAGCATATTTGAAACAAATTTAAAAAATTTACCTAATTTTCTAAATTTTCGATCCATCCGGCTTATTTGAATTTGACTTAAGAATTTGAACCAACGATTTGAGTTAGTTGAACAGATCTAATTCGATACAGCTAATTCTAGCTTATCAGATTGAAGCAAAATATTTGATTTTTGGCGTGAATATTGATTTCTGCGTGAATTATATTCACGCACAAACCCACTGGCGAGCCATGAAAAAAAAATTTACAGAGAGATACAAAAAAGTTGAAAAAAACATAAATAACTAAGAAAATAAAAAGTAATTGGCCATTTTTAACAAATTTTGTGTTAAAATTATAGTTTTCAGTTGATCATGTGGAACAGAAATTTCTGAAATATCGTTTGCTTTTTAAATATAATTTCGTCAGTTCAAAATTTCTGCAATTATTAGATAGGTTATTTGGCCCACGTGATCAATCTCCCTCGTAAACTCTGATTATGGTTGAAAATAAATGCTCTTAACCCAAATGAACAATCTCCTCCCTGAATTGATTTAGGGCGGAGATTGCTCACTTGGTTCAATTGTTGGGTCAACTTAACAATCCGCCATTTCATTTACTTAAGAATTTCCACCCCTATAAATAAATACAGTAAGGTAGCACTAGAGCTTGTATACTCGAATTTTGATGCACTCCTGATTGGTTCAAAATTCGACTAACATATGATCTTCTTAACAACAATCTTTGTTGTTTTTTTTGTTGTTGTTCAGATGGGTGTGTGAAGCCTAATAGTATTCGGAGTAGTGTGAAGAGAGTGCATAATAATTGTGTATACGACGAGCAGTGTGAGTCCAACTGGTGTGTGTCAGACTGGAAGATCTGCTACGACGGGGGTCCCATCAGTGGCGCCTCAAGTTTGGTCAGTCCAGAGTAATATCAGCATAACATTACTTACATGTCATTTTAAGGTTTCATTATCAATACTATTGAAGAAAGTCTGTAGTATCTATACCAGAGAAATAGAGAAATTGCAAGTGCAAAACAGCATATTTTTTGACTTGAGGCGCCAGAACACAGGCTCTCGAAGGCTAATACCGTCCTTCGAATCTATATATTTGTAAACGAGTAAAGAGTAATAGTTACATTAGCTCTAAATTCAAAAAAATATATATTTAGAGCACGTTTTCGATTTAGTCCAGAACCATCGACAAAAATAAACAACAGCACCATTACTGCCGATCACTCATTTTTCAGCCAATCATAAAACCCTGTTTTTGTTTTTTTTTTGGACACTTTTTGTACCAAAAAATTTTAGGAGCCAGGTTTTCTCTCAAAGTTTGTGAAATCCCCAGGCAAATTGCTCTCTTGCTCCAATGTATAAGAAATGCTGTTTTATTTCTCTCGGTTCCATTTCTTTAATGCTATTCAACTTTTAGATTCCTGGTACCGCAAATTATTGTTTACCTAATGTAAAAGTTTTGCGTGTAAAATTACGAGGCCAAACTGTGCATTTTGAAAAATTGTAAGCGGATTCCGCATCAGGCCAAACAAGCTTTGTCGCGAAATCTTCTTTGCTGTTTTGGATTGCACGGTCAAATAGCTAAAATTATATTTTCCTCAAAATTGCTCCATTTAAGGAATCCGCAACAATTTTTGTAGAATCTGGAACAATTTGTGGAATCCGTGAACAAATAATAACATATGTGTTTAGTAAACTTAGGCTGTTGCAAAATCCGGAACAGTAGGTGGAATCTGTAAACTGTAAACGGGTTCCTCAAATTGTAAGCGGAATCAGCAAAGTGTACGTGGAATCCGCATAGACTTGCGGAGTTCACTTACATTTGCGGAATCAGCTTATCTTTGCGGAATCCGGTAAAACAAACTATATTCGCTGGTTGCGGAGTCCGACACAAAACTAAAGTGTCTACAAATAATACATTTTGGATTTTGTTCAAAGACTTTTTTCTAAACTCTAGCAACATACAGACACAAAATTGTGTGCCTTTCCATTGCACAATTTGGCCTCGTAATGAACAGCTGCAATACCCTGGAGTACTAAAACGGGAAAGACAATAATTTTTCATTCAATTGTAAGTACTTTTTTTCATTAGAACTCATCAATTGATACTTGGTTCTTTTTTAGTTTTTGGTGGGAACACTGAAAGAAGTTTCAGTCAAAAAGTTCGCTGACTAACAAAAACAACTACCAATATGAATTTAAAATAACTTGTAATTGAATGCTTGGTTTTTCCACCATTTCAGCAGGCCAATTTTTGAAAGTTTTTTCTAGAGAATCTATTGGTTTTATGAAATTTTATAGCGATAAAATGGGATTTTAATTGCGTAATACAACCAAATGTCAGTTTTCATGACAATTGGATGAAGTAGAAAAATGAAGAAAATTATTAAATGGCCTGTGTTGGGAAAAGGTAGAAGGGCTGAGTGCTTTAGTAAAAAGTGACTTTAAGGTCGGCTTTTTTGCAAAGTGAAAACAATAATAATTTATCAAAAAGTCTGCTCGTATTCCCGCAGAACTGCTCGTGTTCGGAAATCAAAAAGACTGCTCGTGTTCCAACTGCCCCTTAATCGGTTTGAATCACTGTTGTTACAGAAAATATTTATTTAAAAAAATTAAACTCCATATTTTTCGTTTTTTTAAGTTATTTTCATAACAACAACTATTCCGATTATGGGGCAGTCGGAACATGCGCGACTTTGGCCTGATATAGGACGTTTTTTTAATTTCATTTGAAAAAAGGCCGTCTAGAAACTGACCTCACCTTAACTTTCTAAGGAAATGTTACAGCACCAGCTAGTCGGCCATATTAAGCTCGGGTGGCGTCCTTCATAATGGAGGGACCCGAACGAATGTTGAGAATTTATTTTTAAACGTTTTCAGTCAATCAGAATTGAGTATTCAAAAACCTGAAAAAAGTGACGAAAATATCTAGGAATACGAATGCATCCAGGCCCTTAAAACTAATATTGACCGATTAGAAAATTATCAGATAAATGAAACTCAAATTTTTGCGGAATCTATGTGCGGCATTGAAAAGAACCTAAAATCGACTTTTTTAAAATGAAAATTAAAAAATTTTGTTGTGCTGCTATAGTTCGCACAGAGACAATCACAGAAATATTTATAATGGTAGCTTGATGACCATTTGTTTCGAGTACACAAACTTTTTCTCAATGCACAAGCACATACACGCATTTTTGAATATAGAAGATTTCTTTTTTCTTTTTTTTCGCGTCTCCATTTTTAGGGTTTCAATGGATTTTGTACAATAGTAAAGTCAATAATGAGACAATATATTCAAATACATAGATTTTTTTGACAGTTTAGCTGGTCTATTCCAACTGTATAAAATCTTATTTTCAGAGCCCAATTGGGTTGCAAACAATAAGAGTTCTCCAGAACGTTATGGTCAAATATTAAGCCTTTATTGGCTGTAAAACTTAAAAATGTGCTGTCAGAATAAAGCTACAATTATATTGACTGTTTTCAAATTTTGCCAAAGTAAAAGTTTTTGGACTACTGAATGTGTGTGTGTGTGTGGGGGGGGGGGGGGGGGGGGGGAGACAGGTGGGGGAGTTGTGAGGTTTTGTCGACGCGTGTTTTCAAAACTTTAGAATTATTTTAAACGAAATTATCAGACTTTTTCATCGCACCACGAATAAAAACGACACAAAGTGAAAAGAAAAAAACTGTTTTTGTTTATTTTTATATTATTGTTTCGAAACCTTCTGTGTTACTTGCACAGCAACCGGCTGTTTTTGTTTATAGTTGATGTTTTTCTGTAGGCGGGATGTACGAACTGTCCAAGTGTGAAGGGGGTAGATTTGAGCAAGTGTCAGTGCACGAACCCCGACTTCCCCAACATGTGGGTGATGTGCACAAATGGGTCCTGGGCCTACGACCAGTACGACACCACTGCCCAGAAAACATACAAAAGGTCACAAATCTCATTGCTCTTTATTAATCTTTAAGACTCTTTATCCACGAGGGAAAGGCCTGACATACGAGCTGTACAGCTCATCACCGCGAACCGCTGTTGTGCCCCTATTTTTAAGATCATTTATCCACGAGGGATAGGACCAACATACGAGCTGTACAGCTCATCACGGCGAACCGCTGTTGTGCCCCTGCTTAAGAACTACATGCAATTTTTTTGGTTATTTTTCTGGGCTGGGTAATGTTGCCTCACCCTCAAGCAACGAGCTTGGATCATGGTGGGCCTCGAACATCCGACCTTTCGATTGAGAGGCGGAGACGTTTACCACTTCACCACTGCTCCCCTAATATTTAAAAACTACATGCAATTTTTTTGGTTATTTTTCTTGGCATGGTAATTTTGCATCATCCTAAGCAACTAGCAGAGATCATGGTGGGCCTCGAACATCTGATCTTTGGATTGAAAGGCGCAGATGTATGTCAAACCATCGAGTCCAGTCAAATTTTCAAATATTAATCACCCTAATTTTCCTCAAATACAAATCTGACAAAACCGCGAAAGAATACATTCGATATGACTTTGTGCAGGGGCGGATTTTCTGAGAGGATTTAGAGCTATTTATAATTCAAACTCCCAATGTAGCAGCGCAAAGGTGAATAAAAATATAAGTCATGAGCGGGGAAAAAGGATTGGATAAAAGAAACGGCAGTTACAGCTGCTTTGTATGGTGGCAAGCGTGAGTGTCTGGAAATTCAGCAACCAGTTTGGTGTAGGTTCGTCTTCCCCACGTGCTCAAGTGTTCACGTAGAAAAGATGATTTTTGACACCCCAATCAGACGCTGATTTGGTTCTCGAAACCACTTTTTTCTCTAAGTCAAATTTTTTTTGGCTGATTATAGATGGATCTATGATTTTTTAATTCTCGACATTTACAACGGATCAGGGGCGGATCTAGGATTTTCTCGAGGGGGGGGGCGGATTTTCCAAAAATTTTCCAAAATTTTGAAGACCTTTTTTTTTTTTTAGGTCGACCAAATTGATTTTTCGAGCTCTCGCAAAGCTCTGTATTGCCCCTATTTTGGCGAAATTGTCTCCAAATTTTTGAAAAAACACTCAAAAAAGCCGTTTTTGGGCACTTTTTGAAAAAATTTGACAAAAAAGTTGCGTTTTTTTGGCGCGCGCTCCCCCAAAAAGTTAGCATATATTGACGCCAAAGGCGCCTTTAGAAAATTTTTAGGGTCGGTCGGCCAAAAATGGATTTCTGAAAAAGTATAAAAGGGGGACCCTTTGTGTCGCCAGGGGCTCGAATCCCTGAGAAGGGGTGTCCGCCCCCCGCCGCCCCCCCTAAATCCGCCCCTGACTTTGTGTACGAACGAACAAATTTCTCATTTTTTTTGTCGGACTTATATAGCTTCTTCTGCTTGAATAGTCCGACTACTCGTATTAGAGCAAAACTTTGAATGTACAGACCAATCGCCAAATTTAATGTCTCCACAACTTTCCAAGATTGATATAAGCTAAAACATGATTTTCTTACTGATTTCAAGGCTGTTTTCAGATGGCATAAAAACGGTTCTTCCGCATTATGGCTATTTTCCCCGATTGGCACAGATTTCGTCCTAGTACAGATTTCGTCCTATTTATTTATTAAACAGATTTCGTCCCATACAGATTTCGTCACATATCCAACACCCTACAGTGCTGATTTGAATTAACCGGACAAAACGCGTTAAACTTGAAATTTAAAAGGCATTTTTCTCAAATTGGGTTGAGTTTAGGTAAAAACTTATGAAGACAAAACTTGCTTTAAATTTTAGCAGAAATAATATGGTGTATTTTGATTTGCGAAATTCGGGCCCTAAATTTTACCCCAAAAATGGGTCATTTTGGTTTTTTTAGTTTATCAAAAATTACGCCGAAAAAACCCAGTCGATCGCATATATAATTATATCAAAGTGAGCCCCTTACGTAGCTCAACAAACTTGAAGAAGGGTATTTTCTCCAAACAAAATTGCAAATTGTTTAAAAATTGTTTTTAAATAAAAAGTTGGTTTTTTGTATAGTAAAAACAACCTTTTTTGTCTATCAAACTAAATTAAATTTATTTATACAAAATTTTGGAGATTATACCCTTCAATAAAAATTTGTTGGACTACGTAAGGGGCTCACTTTGATATAATTATATATGTGATCGACTGGGTATTTTCGGCGTAATTTTTGATTAACTAAAAAAACCTAACTGACCCATTTTTGGGGTAAAATATTAGTTCTGCTAAACTTTTAAGCAAGTTTTGTCTTCATAAAAATCACCTATCCTCAACCCAATTCGAGAAAAATGCGTTTTAAATTTCAAGTTTAACGCGTTTTGTCCGGTTAGTTTAAATCAGCACAATATCCAATATCCAAATTTGTGGGACGAGATCTGTTCACACTTTGAAATGGGGCGAATTTTGTTGAAATTAAAATGGGACGAGATCTGTCATGGGACGAAATCTGTCACAGCCATTTTCTTCATAAGCAAAGTCCTCATTTTTTAAAAAGTTTGTTGACCTTCTTTTGGGTCGAGTAAATTGATTTCCTTAGCTTCCCAAAAACACTTTTAGGACCCTATTTTTGCGAAAATGTTTTCTGCTCCGCCGGCAAACTTTTGAAAAAAGAGGTCATAAGAGCCGCCTTTGTGCACTTTTCGGAAAGTTTTACCCAACAATTTGCGTAAATTGGCGCGCGCTTACCCTCAAAATTAGTATATTGTAGCGGCAAAAGTACTAATAGAAAAACTGTGAGCGCACATATTTTCTAAATTAGTATATAGTAGCGCCAAAGGCGCTTTTGACCAAGAAATCACGTTTTTTGGCGCGCACTCCCTTTAAAATTGGTATATAGCAACACCAAAGACACCTTAAGAAAAATTTTATAGCGGGTCGGCCGAGAATCGATGTCGCAAACTAGTTCCTCAGACAGAAATGCGTCAGCTAAACCCCCCCCCCCCCCCCCCCCGCCCTAAATCCGCCCCAATGAAGAAAACGTATATTTATTGCAGTTTTTCTAACAGAAATTGCGAAATGCTGTCAGTATTTAGACAACCGTGTATTCATACTCATCAGTCAGCAGACTAGTACCATTTTAGCCAATCAGAATCGAGATGAGAAAGCAACTATACGAAATAAACAATTATTAATTATTAATTTCTTCCTTGTCTCGATTCTGATTAGTTAATAAAGTATTAGTCTGTTTTCTGTCGAGTATGAATAAACGGTGATCTTAATGCTGATACGTAACCAGAAATCGCGCTTCTTGGTGCGCGCGTTCTCCGCCTTAAATCTAGTATCAAATGGCGCGTTTTTCAATCAAAAAAGATTTTCGTAAAATAATACCAAACCGAGGGACCAGGTTGTCAATTCATTGAGGAACACGAGTGCATTCTCCCGCCGTAACCCCTAATCTGCTGCTTATTACTGCGCAGACATTCCGCTGAAAATTTTTTGGCCGAGAATAAATCAACTAGGGAGTCAGTTTCTGTTCAAAATCAAATCATATGCAAAACTGAATCTACCTCTCCCCTTAAAATCTTCATACCTTTTTAGACTTTGTCATATTTACTATCTATTTTCTGGAGCGTGTTTTAAATCAATCTGTTCGTGATTTCTGAACTTGTGTTGAAAAATTCAAAAATGGATTCGATATATGTTAAATGTTACAGGGTTGAGCAGGACGATGGGTCGCTCTCCGAGAACGACGAGTTCGCCATCAACACGCAATGCGTCCACAACAAATGGAGGGAAGAGGCGGGGGGACTAGGAGCCCTGAGTTGGAACGGCGCCTTGGCAACCTTCGCGACAAATTACGCCAAGACACTCCAGAGCATGCAGTGTCAAGGACTGCCGCATAGCAACAACGAAGACCGCAAGGGCTTGGGAGGTTTCCACACCAATGGGGAGAATCTCTACGCGATGTGGACAAGTGGAAAAATCATCAACGAGGACATGCCGAGGATTGCACGTGATGCCGTGAACGGGTGGTACAGTGAGATCAAAGACTACTCGTACCCAGGGGGCGGCCAGAAATACGGGTCATGTCCAGGCAATGGAATGATCGGACATTTTACTCAGGTACGAATCCTCTCACTCAATTTCTGAAGAGATTAAAGCCTAATTTAAAGTAGTCTTCTCATATGCCGAGTCATGGAGCAATGTTAGATCACGAGACCATTTTGATTTTTCAGACAAACCAATTTTACATCCGCGTCATACGAATTTTGGTGCGTCGTTAACTTGCTCCTAAATTATCCACTCAACGCTTGAAAGTTGGGAAGCAATGTTCGGATGCTCGGAGAAGTATAAAAAATATTTAAAAAATATGCGCAAGGTTATCAACTATAAAAAAGGCATTGGTGAAGTTTGTTTGAGAAAAAACAATATTCACCGCAAAATATTTAGATTATGCATATTTATACTTTTGCAAACTTAAATAAAAAATTTCAGGAAGACAAGGAGCAACAATTAATCAAGAAGAAGAATAACAATTAATCCAACAGGAAGCGCGCGCTAAAAAAACTCAAAACTTTTCAAAAACTACTCAAAATTTCAGTTTTCGCTTGTTTTTGTTTCAATACTTTTTACAAAATAGGGTCCTTATGGGGCTTTAGGGGAGCTCGGAAAGTCATGTTGGTCGAACTAAAAATAGTTCAATATCATTTTTTGTCAAAAAATCTAAATCGTGTTTTTACTTGGCAATTCGTTTCAGTTGATGTGGTCTGATACTAGTGACGTCGGCTGTGATTTCGCCATTTGCGACTACGGTGCGGGAGGACAGACAGTGAATGTGGTGTGCATCTACGGAATCGCCGGCAACTGGGTCGGGTCGCCCGCTTTTGACGAAGAGACTTACTGCAATCTCAAAGAATACCCCGAAAACATCGAGAAATACGGCGGGCTGAAGACCTGCTCCTCCAGCCCGTAAACTTCCTTTTTTTTTTAATTTGCAGCCAAACTACAGCAAAACTCATCTCCGCCCCTCCCCTCCCCTCCTTATTTTTCCCTCTTGATGATTCGTCTTTTTTCCTTAAAAATTTTAGTCTGGGTATTTATTCAGCAAGCAAAAGGTTATCAAGAGAATTACTGGAGGTTCAGGTTAGTTTTTTTTAAGTTTAAAATGCCCATTTTGAGAGTTTTATTCTTCTGTTTTTATGGTACTATTGTTTGGTTTTCAGACATTTCAACCCCCACATTCTTCACACCACTTAATTTTTTTGGCACAGAAATAAGATGGAGGAAATATGCGAAGGGCAACACGTGCGGCATTCCTAGTTTTCGTCCACTTTACTTCATTTGATTAAAATAATTCAACTGGAATCGTCCAATCGCTCTTCTCTATAACTTTTCTTTTCCAATTTCTTGCTGATGACTATAAAAGATTGAGAACTCTAGTTTTCTTTCACCCAACTAGAGATTGTCCCATTCTGCTCCTGTTATTAGCACTGCTGATATGGTTCTGTCGGGATGTTGTTGTTTCTCTGGCTTGTAGGCTCTGTCCGGTACCTGGTGTTTCTCTATTTCTCTAAAAACCTTCATTTATAAGGCCGCAAAATAGCCCAATACAATTCACGGCAGCTTATGGAATAACACATGGTGATGTTTGTGATGAAAATCTAACTATCCAGACCATTGGAACTTGGCGATGGAAAAATCGCACAGTTCTGGATTCGAAACGGATACCTACAGATCAGGTAGTGGTGGTGCTCAGCAATCATATGATTGCGGGTGCAAATCGCACGTGCGCTGCAATTTGCAAGGTGAGCTCTTGTAAATAAGTCATAGCTTACTATGTGCACTGGTTATATGCGCTCTTCGGCCACCTAAATAATTGACCTTCGTATTGGGCCTCCTGGCTTGTTGACTAAAAAAAACCTAAGCAAGCTGCCGCCTTGGAATTCATCGCCCGAAAGATCGTGAAAGAATGTTGGTCTGGAACACAGGACAAACTGGCTCATTTCTTGTTCTCTTGTTATTCCCTTCTTTGTTCAGAATTGATTGTGAGGCTGTTCCCCCCAACCCACAACCCCCTGGCCCTGAATCAGACGGCAAATGTCCAGGCATTTTCGGTACTATCTGTTCCTTCCCTTGGAATCACGCCGAGTTTGGGGAAATAACGAGCTGCCAAGACGCTGTTGATAAATTCGGAGACCGCAAGCCGTACTGTCCCACGGAGTTCGCTGGTTTTTACGACCAGTGCAAATTTGACACAAATGACGAGGACTGTTTGTTTCATGAATAGATAAAAGCACTTCTTGCATTCACTAAGTTTCAAACCGCGATTAAATGGAAATCAACAGAGTTACTATCAATGGTTTTTGTCTAGATATTTTCAGCAATTTTGATCAAATTTTGAGATTTAAAATTGGGTGATCGCTGAAATTGAGAAAAAACCACATAGATAATTTTTTTTTCATTTTTACGCTGAATCTCATGCTTAGTGACCGAGAGAAGACTTTTAAAATTGGGGATTGGTGGCGGATAACTGCAATGAGCTTCAAAAAATTTAAATCAGCAATTAAAAGCCGTTTTATTCTATCTAAAGCTATCATTTCATTTCTATCAAATGATCTAAAACCTCAAATTTTGTGACAATACAACGTTCATGTGGCAAGTTCAAAATGGTCCTGTACGTAAACAAACATTTTCTTGAAAGTAAATATTTTCATCTAAGTTTTAGGTGATCAAATTTTGGTTTCAGAGTAGTAAGAGTAGAAAAAATATTCGGGTACACATCGACGCTACACTTTCAAAAGTGGATAAATATTAAAAATCTGGACAATTCAAAAACCTTTTTTTTTCAATGCCCAGCAAAGTTTCTCGACCCTATAGCGTGATCAGAACAATAAGTTTGCACTCAGCTTAAGTTAGAATACAAAAGTTAACTTTTGGTAAATACTCGTGGTATAGACTGATTCTTCTCGTAGGAATTCGTCTTAAATTGGCAGTTTGTAACTCATTTTAGGATTCTAAGTTTCATTAGGGTCCTAACTTCTATTTATCGCTCAATTTTTGATCCTTTTATGCCTTCCAACTTCGTATAATTAATTTTTTTTGCTTAACCTTGCATCTTTATACCATTAGTTTCCCATGTAATGTTTAAATTGAGCTAGATCCTTAAACTCAGCCTGAAGGAAACGAGGAAAACTTGTGCAGTTTTTTCGGCAAGTTTTTATATTAAACTCACCAATATCTGAAGAATTTTTTTTAACATAAGAACTTGGAGTAGCAATTGCTTCCATTTAAAGTCAACAATAGACGTTCATTGCGCTTATACAGACTTGTGTAAGAAATTATGACCCTGTTTAAGACAAGGAAAAAAACGCTATCTTGAGAGTTTATCCTTTTCCGGCCCTTTCGATTATACCCACCTAAATGCTGAAAAATGATAGAAAAATTTTTATACGAACCTAGATCGCTTTTACTAAGATATTTAGGGGTTTTAAGTGGGACATGCCACAATGGAAGCAGCTTCACGTAATTTAACCTCAAATTTGGTCTTTTCTCTGTTTTTTTTTGCCGTTTTACATAAGCTTTATAAATATCAGACCAAGTGCGCTCTTAATTGTAGTTGAAAATCGCTTTTTTAAGGTTCAACAGTCTTGGTCCGACCCTTTTTTTCTTCGTGAGTTTGATCCAATTTCAAAAAGAATTTTTTTTTTGATTTTTGAACTTTTAGATCAATGAGGCCAAAATGTAAGACTTGAGATTGTGAGCGAATTCGAAAAATATGATAAACAAGTAATTTTATGTGTTGAGTTTTGTGTCATGTGTTCTACTATGTATTTGTATTTTGACGTTAGTGTTAGAATTATTACTTTAATATTAAAACAAAACAAGACTGCTCGTATCAGGGCAACGCCCTGAATGTTCCGGTTGTCCATAAACTGTTCTTAAATAGTTTTTGGCTAACGAAATATTGACTAACTATGAATTTTGAGCCGAGTATTACGATCGTTGACGAATTTTAAAAAGTAATTAGCCTGCTTCATTTGAATTTCATAATGCGATATAATTGGAAACGTGTGAATTTTGATCGCGAAACTTTCAGCATCAAAGTATCACAACGGTTTTGTAGTTACGTTAGTCTAATAGTGGTCGTTTCACAGCACTGTAGAAGTCAGCATAGTCAATCTAGTGGTAACCGCTCCCCTTCTGGGGCCAAGAAAAAGGAAAAATTTGGAGATTCGGTCTGAATAAAACAAATCACCCCGAAAGTCGGAATAATAATATATTTAGACCAATGAGCATGCCTTAATCCAATTTAGCACAATTTCTAAGACAGAATGAAACTCCTTGAACGCGTTTATAACAAGTCGCGTGTTAAGCGTCACCAACACAATACTTTTCGAATAATATAAGTAAGAAGTGACGTCAAATTTTGCTAGTTACCAAGTCGAAATCTGTCTGGAGTCAGAACAACCGGTCGGAACAACAATCGACATTATGAGACAATGTGTTTCTATCAAGTAGCCTTAGGAGAAAGTTCATCTTTAGTCGGAACAACAAGGGACGTTACGAGACCATGTGGTTCATAACTATGTGTTTCATAACTATCAAGGCTATGCCCTGAAATTTCCGACTGAATTTTAATTTCTATGCAGCAGTTTGAATTAAAACAATTGATGAAAATCTTAATGTTTTAAAAAGTTATTGAAAAAACAAAGCTCAACTTTAACTAAGTTGAAAGTCAGTATTATCAGCACTTAGTTGGAACTTCGCCATAGCAGAAGTAAGAACAAAGCCGCCATCAGTCATTACGATGGAAATTACCAACTTAGCGAAAAACATCGAAGTCGGCATCAGCAGTTAGGATAAAGCAAAAATTGTCCTAGAAAATAAGTCTTCAGCATTTTCGATATTTAGAGAGGACCCATATTGTTTTTTTTTCAATATCGCTTTTTATTCGATCAAATTAAAACAAAAAAACCTAGACCTTGATTGATTTGGAAGAATGAGCGTTCCTTCCAAATGCTGAAAAGATTAATTTGGATATTCAAGGCATGTTTTAGTACTTGAAGGGTAACACCCCTGATTAAAATTTAGCATTTGTTTTGAAAATTTGCCGCTGAATTTCACAAAGACAAGATAAAATGTTCTTCGGATATCTCGAATTTATAAAAATATAAAATTGTTAAATTCTGAATCCACCTTCAAAACCAAAATCTGCGACTATTTGATTTTTTCGCTCGTTTCGGAGTTAGCGAGCAAACAAATGAATTGATAAATTTAACACTGCATGCATTTAAAGGTTTGCACGCAATCGCATTAAAACGCGCGCCTCCTGAGAGTGCAGTTTTTTTTTCTCGTTATAGGGGTATTATTGGAAAAGCCATGTTTTTTTTGATCTTTAACAAAATTTATTCTTCTTTATCAAAAATAATCATTGTACCAGAACTTATATTTGTACAATTTATAATTTATGGATAACTTTGTTATTGTTAGGACAACCTCAATTTTTTAACATGGCGGGGTAAAATGGTTAAGTTCTAAGAGTTGGAAAAAATTTGCAAATCATTGCCTCCAATAAACAAACCAAAATGATTCAAAAAACTGATTTGGTTTTGTCCCGCACTGAAGTTTCTCGGATAAAAATAGACTATATTGAGAAAATTTTGCCGAAAATGTTGCCACTGTAATCGATTATCACTAACCAATTTAGGAAACCTTTTGTATTATAATAGAAAGAAAAGGGATTATTTTCATGACTTTATATTGCATATATCGCATAATTCCAATAAAATTAATTTTTGTCTCCATATAACCTCAATAAAATCTCTTTTTTTTTCGCCCTAAAATCGCCATAAAATTGCAATAAAATTTATTGTTTTCGCCATAAAATCGCAATAAAATCTATTGTTTTTGCCATAAAATTGCACTAAAATCTATTGTTTTTGCCAAAAAATTGCAATAAATTTTATTGTTTTTGCCATAAAATTGCACTAAAATCTATTTCTATTGCCATTAAATTGCCCTGAAGATGTTCAAAAAATGATCAAAACATGAAGATGTTCAAAAGTGGATGATTTGGGTTTTTTACCAGTTCACACGTTTACTGTTTTTAAAATTGAAATAAATTCTATCGAAGCTATTTTTTATTTTTTAAAAAGTATGAGGAGCAAACAAAGCTGCGTTCCTTCAATGTATAAAAAATTCAGGTTCCCAAAAACATTCTTTTTTCAGATCTGTTGTCAAATTTGTATTGTTGTGCATGGTCTTTACATTTTCCATCGAAACACTAATGTTTTTCTGAGAGCCAAATAAAAAACATTTCAAGTATTCCGTGTATTCCTTCAAATAATGAAAGTTCGAATGTTTATCATTAGCTTTACTTTTAAGGATAGTTAGTCAGCTTACAAAATTGTTGGACACTCAAACATTGCCCGCCCAAATTAAAGGTTCGTTTCGTAACAAGGGCTATCAAAATTATTTTTGGGTGTATGAAATTGTCAATCACCAATTCTTGGCCAAACCGATCAATTATTGGTGTGTTTTAGTTTTTTATGTTCGAACTCAGTTTTTTATAGGAGCAAGTTGGACTGGCTCTACTCAACAAGCTTTTTTAATAATGACCTTAATCGAAATGAAATCAATTTTTTAGATCAGAATTTGCAATAAATTGTTTGATAAAGAGTTTAGAACACAATCGATTTTTTTCTACTTTTTATGAAATACAAACAAGATCTAGGGCGAGTGAACGTTATCAGTTTTCTTGATTTTAGAATTGGCTCCTAATATCTATGGTGTTGATCGAAAGCATTAAAAGGTTTGGAGAACTCTTCATTGACATTCAACAAACTAATTAGCTGTAAGCGAACATAAAGTCAAGTAAGTGTACTGAACAACTGATTACAAAAAAAATGATTTACAAATACTTGTTTTCGGAAATTAGAAAAAGTCAGAAAATTGTACCCTGCGAAATTGTGTTTCTTGATTAAAATGCACGTCTATTGCACGTCTTTCAACTTAGAAAAAAGAAAAAGTGATTGTGTAAATGATGAGAAGAAAAATAGGATGGTCCCTATCTGCTGGTTTAAGAACAAGAACTTTTTAGTGCTTCAAATACAACGTTTATAACAAGACTGCTCGCATCAAGGCGAAGTACCGAATCTTCCGATTGCCTTTTAAGAATTATGGGGCAGTAATAACATTTGAAAAATTTGATGTAATAAAATAAAATTTAAAAAAAAAAATCTAAAATTTGATTTTTTTTGAAAATCATCCCCCACACGCCATATAAAGTACAAAAGAATGGATTTCGCTCCTTGTAACAAATCAATTATGGCAAATAAGCTTCTTTCAACCAATTTGG